TGAACTGGTGTATATGATAGTAGACCAACTCCACCTGGAGCGACAGGCTTTTGGAGCTTGCTGCTTCCATTGAGTAGAAAAGGGATCCGACTCGGGCTTGTCTTCAACTCACTACCTCTCAATGCAGAAGTCAACCAAACTCCTAGGTTGGATTTTTTTTTCCACTGGTAAGAACAAAGTGCTCAAAGACGCCTGTGTATCTACAGGGTGGCCGGGAAGTTCCTCCCCATGTTTTAAAAAAATAAAAAATAAAACTAGAAATATAGCATATTGATAAAATATAATTGGCAGGTTACATTAGGTACACAATATACTTTCAACAAGAAAGGAGTCAATATTTTGTGTGCCTGCCACCATTTTTCAGGCAAGCTGCAAGGCGTCTACCAAAAGAGTCAGTTGACGCGGCCGTTTCCTCCTGGTTGATGCTGTCTCATTCCTCCTTTACAAGGGTGATTAACTGATCTCTAGTGCGTGGTGTGGGTTCCCTGAACTTGCAAATCTTGCCCACAAATGTTCGATTGGGTTGAGGTCAGGCGAATTCCCAGGCCAGTCCTTCCACACACTCTGAAACACGTTGTCATTTGCCGAAATTGTGGCTTTTGCTGCACGAGCCGTAGCACCATCTTGCATGAGAATAACTGTTCCACGCTGAGGGAACTGGAGACGATTCTCAATATACGCTGCTTCCAAAGGAGGATACGATCCCGGTAGTAAACCCCATTCACAGCAATTTTTGAGGAAGCACATGAAGTTCAGATTTCCCATAACCACTTATGGTACCGGCAAACATGATTTTCATACCAAACTTTGGCTTTTGAACAGGACTAATGGTAGACCCGTTATCTGTTCTCACTCGTCAAATAGTTCAGGGAACCCACACCACGCACTAGAGATCAGTTAACCACTCGCGTAAAGGAAGAATGAGACAGTATCAACCAGGAGGAAACGGCCGCGTCAAATGACTCTTTTGGTAGACGCCTTGAAGCTTGCCTGAAAAATGGTGGCAGGCACACAAAATATTGACTCCTTTCTTGTTGAAAGTATATTGTGTACCTAATGTAACCTGCCAATTATATTTTGTCAATGTGCTATATTTCTAGTTTTACTTTAAAAAAAAACCATGGGGAGAAACTTTCCTGTCAACCTGTACTTGGAGTTGGATCACATTTTCTCCTGGAATTCAATCGTAGAATGCAGAGTGCATACTGGAGAAAATAACCTAGTGCAGGATTTCTCATATATCCAAGTATGTAGAATAGTATATGCTCCTAAATATCCATATCACGAGAGGTCTAGGTCCACTGGGTTCATGAGAGCAATGAAGTTCCATTCAGCAGCCAAACTGAATTTAACTCTGAATAGGGCCAAATACGGTGGGAATAGGCATTTGAGTTGGTAAACAAGGCAGCGTGACAGTGATGACATATGGATGAGTCTGGATTAGATAGGGGGACACAGGAGGCATCAGTAGAATCTGTGCAACTTACATCAGGCATATCGATTTGCTACGGGCTATCTTCTTTTTCCATATTCGTATATCACCCGTAGGGAATCTTGATGAGGACTGAAGATATTGCACTTCCTGGACGCAAACTGTAACAACGCAGCTGGGCACGAAGACCACACAGTCACAATCCTTCGGAATTCTTGCCGTCACTGTTCTTGGATGTTATTGGATGAGTTTATCACCAGGGTTCGCTTGTACTTATTCTAAGGGCGATGGCACCACAAGACGAATCTCCCATCTCGTAGTAAGAACTCGCGATATCAATTCAATAGGAGATATTCGGGGCAATCGTGCAATGTCGCAGTCTTAATGAAAAAAGAATAAATGGAGGTCAGACGGCATAGGTCCGGATTCAATTGCTACCTGATGGACGTTCAGCTGAAAATCCAATATTGGGGTGTTGAGGTGCGAGTTTGTCGGCAGTCGAATAGAGGGGAATAATTTATGAAGGTAGGGTCAAACGATGGGCCTGCACAGCCACAAGTCCTTGGCAGGGCTCAATCAGTTTATCGCACAGGACCACCATTAGAAGAATGAAGAGGAGTACTAGTATCTGATAAGAACCTGGTAAGGAGGACCAGTCCTAATTTCACTATCGCCATCACCCTTCACGCCTCTAGCATTCGCTTTTGTTCGATTTTTCACGTCACTCGTCTCCTGTTGTTTTATGCTGCCACACAAGCACGATCTGGGACTGGAGAAAGCAAGCAACAGGCTATGCCATGGCCATCTCTTCCGCCTGAAAATTCCAGGTAGGGAGAGTAGAGACGCTCGAGCTCCATATACAGTGGGCCCCAAAAATATTTGATCCTTTTCCATGCCAGCGAAAAATATTAAAAGCTTGATTCTTTATTTGTGAATAAGGCACAACAAATTTACTCATTTTTAATTAGAATAATTTCCATTACGAGCAACTTTGAACGTCACTTGTCATATAGACCAATATGCTCACCCTTAGCAGTTGATGTACGGTTCATACGGAACATCCGTTGGTGTTAGCCTCCCAAGTACCATGGACACAGAATTGATTCAAATAATTAATAAATTTAATTACTTAACTCCCATATGACAAAAACGAGTTCACATTATGCTTCAAAATGATCTAAACAGTTCAAGAAATGCATGCAGTTCATGCTCATACTCATTGATTACGTTAAAGGTTAAAGTACTTTTGGGCTACCCAGTGTGTCCGATTCCTATCCTTTGCCCCTTTCCATAGCTTTCTTTTCCCTCTCTCTTCGTTGGATTCTCTTTCCTTTCCCTCTGCCTGTACCCATTCACGGTAACAAACAGGCACGGATCAAAGTTCCAAGATATCTCAACTCGAAGAACCTCATCGAGTTGAATCAGCATCGCTTCATTTCGTCACGTCCATGACACAATATGATATAAGCACAAGAGGCTCAGGGGGTCATGAGTGCATCCTTCGCTGAGTGGTTAATCCATCCCTTTCCCCCATCCCTCCTCATGAGTCAAACGTCACGCTGCTACAGCTAGGCAACAAAATTACATCGAAGAACGTCCCGTGACGTCTTCCCCACTCAACAATGTCACGACACACTACCAGGCCAAAGTCATGCAGTACATAATTAATTGTTGCCAGATCTTCTCACTCGGAGAGTTTTTTAAATTTAATTTATAATATTGTTACGGAGCTACGGGTTAGTGTAACCCACGGTGGGGTTCGGGTGGAAATAAGATCACAAGGGGAAGTTCATAGACAACAAAATAAGCGTTTACTCTCACTCGTCAACAATGAGAAGGAGTTCAACGACTGTATTGTATCCGGGGAGGAGATAGCGGAGTCCTGGTGTCTTCTCGGATCGAGCCTCTCGCAGGCCCCACTCGACCGATGTAGAGGTCTGCACGGTCTCCACTTGAACTGCGGTAGTGGGGAGGAGGATAGACTGTTGAGTCGCAGTCCCAGCGATCACTGCTCCTCGTCAACCGACGGCTTCCCGGGCTGGGGTCAACCAGGACCGTCAATGGGGGTTCTGACCGTACTCGACAGGGTTTATAAGTCGAGCCTATTTTCGAGTTGAGATCCGTCACCGTTCAGGTCTTAGGTCGAGCCTGCTTTGTGCTTTCCGGGTGTCCTTGCTGAGGCCGTGATGGGACCGTTCGCTCTGGCCAGTGGATCCTCAGCATGTCGAGTTGGAAGGCATGCCTTATTTTCCTTCTTCACATCTTATATCTCTAAAAATAAATCTATGTAAATTTTACATTTTATTTTAGACCTCGCGCGTCAGGCTAAGGTAACAGCGGCCTAGGGCAGAGCGACCGAAAAGTCACCGGATGCGAATGAGAAAAGAAAGTCGTAATGAAGAAGCTGTAAGGGAAACACAGAAGTAAGAGGAGAGTTGGGCAGGGGCATGGGACTGGAGAGGTAGGAAAGAGGATAATGTTAAGACTGGGGAGTGAGAGGCGTACGTGTAAGTGCACCGGCGAACGTCTATGGGAGCCCCTGGAAAATAACCAAGAGAGGGAAAGCCGGGGGCAGGCAAGAGAAAACGAAAGTGGGAAACCCTCTCCTATTCCTTGTTTGCTCCTATTTTTGCTCTTCTATCCTGTGTTGCCTGTAAATCGTTAATGAATCTTTAAATCTCCGCGTAATGACGTGTCACTGCATACGTCAAATCATTTAGATAATATTTTTTCATCCTTCCTTTATGGGTTGGCTAAGTGGCAAAGGGCCTCAGTGCGCTTCGTTGCTTACGTTTCATTATTTATCTGTCTAAGTTGGAACTATTTTCCTTTCGACTGGAATGTGTCACTTGTAGGATGAACTAATGTATGTATGGATAGTAACTGTTATGTTAGCGACTGCATCGCCTTGAGTCACTTCCTGAGGCTCGCCTAGTTGTTGGGCATGACAAAAGCAGAATCATTCCCAGACAGAATTTGAACCCTTTCGAAACCCATGCGTGAATGGGCAACGAAATCAGCTCTGGCATCACAAGCTTCTCAAAGCGTAATAGCACGGATGCGAGTTTTCCAACATCTTATGACTTCAGAAACGACAAACTGGGACTGAATAGAACCAAAATTGAACAAGGATTCTAACTATATATTTAAAAATGTTCTAGCTCCTATAGCTTGGGCTTTGGAGGGGGGTTATCTATGTGCAACACCAGGTACAAATGCCAATCAGCATTTCCCATAGACTTCATTGCGGAGCAAAAAAAATTCAGTCGCAAACCTTCATTCAATATCCTTCATCTTCCAAGAGTGATGACCATCCACGATTTTTTTTCTAACTAACTTGATCAGTCGGTTAGTATTCTCCCACTAGATCTGCAATCATTTTCCTGTGGAGTACATTTCCCTTTCCTGAAATATCTTTGTCCACCTTTTCTGGATTTCACAAATATATTTGACTTTAATTAAAGACTCGATAATTTTCGTTTAAATGCCGCACTCCAATATCCTGAACCCGTGAGAAAGCAAGAATGATAAACATATCTTCTCTGTCACGCTGAAGAAGAAAGAGGAATTATGAGACACCATTCCGAGATCGATAGTCCGTCTTGCAACAAAAAATATTAATTTAGACTCAATGAAATTGCCAATATATGAACTCTTGGGTAGATTCGTTTCATGAAAGCCAGGTTAGCATTTTTATGATAGAAGCAACTTTGCCCAACTCTAGGATATTTCTGCGCATAAAATGCACCAAACCTCGTTTAAGGCTTAATCGCACTTTGATTAAAGGATTTCCAAAAAGTATGAGCTCTGTTTAGCTTCGCTATTTTGCTTTGTTTTCATCACATGCTCAGGGGAATAAAAGTGAAATCTGTTAATCACAATAGTATCTATTGTTTCTTCTCGAGTATTGCACTTGAGCCGTCCCATCAGCACTTGAGTCCTTGCTCGGGAGAGATTGATCTGAGAAGATTCATGGAAGAGGAAGACAATAAAGAGAAGGCGATCCCAGATGTATGAAGGGAGGAGTCCATGGAGAGATGCGGAAGAACAGATGGATAGGTGGCTTCTTTGCATTCAGATGAAAACATAAATAGAAGGCCAAAGACAGGCTTGTTTGAAATGTTATACATGTACTGTATTTCCCAAGAGAGAGAGACGGTGCAAAAGAGATCCCAAGTCAAAGAGAGGAAAAGGATCTGGGGACAAAAAGCAATATTCAACTCATTTTATCTCTCAATGGAATGTGGATACGAGCACAAGAGGCTGTTTGGAGTCGCACAAGCTCCATGAGGCCTATCGTGAGATCTTCTGATACCTCAATGAATACAGAAACAAGTCGACAGGAGCAACATCATTGCACAAAGAAGCCAGGAGGAGAAGCTATTGGCGGGGGGAGTGAGCAAAGATATACATATGCTCAAGCACATGAAATAAACGTAAGACTTGATACTTGATACTTGAGCACTTGATACGAGTACAAACATGAAATACACACGAGATACGATCATCTGCACGCGCACGATCTTAGCCAAACCTTAAGAGTTCCATGTCTAGACTGTCTTTTTACAGTCTAAGCCTTCTCAGAGTCTTATTAAGCATGTGCAAAATTCTTCTGAGGGAAACTGAGCTCGATAGGTAGTACAGAGCCAAAGAGAGAGACGAGAACCAGCAAGAAGGCAATAAGGGTGGATTTTTGAACAGAGCACTATCCAATAATGCAGTTTTATTATATATAATGCATTTCCTCTGTAATAAAGCTGCATTATCGGATAATGCTCTGTTCAAAAATCCACCCTAAAGAATGGAGCAAATGGATATGCAAAATCTCATAAAAAGTAATGTGGAATTATGGCCCAAAGAGAAGGAGAAAGGAAGAAAAATGTGTGCCTAATTCGCACGGTCTGACAGAACGATATGGCGTGTCATATCACGACTATAAAAGAGCTACAATGACAAGAGATCCCTTCTCTCTTGCGCGTCAATAGTAAGTTTCTTTGTATAGCCATCCGCCTGGACGACATCGCATGAGGTACCGACGAGTTTCGTCATAAGCAAATATGAGAAGGGAAAATGGCAGAGCAGGCAGCCACCATACGAACCTTCAACCAAAGAAAAGGGAAAGAGAGAGACATAGATTTTCATCATGAACGAATGAAGGAAGTAAGCCTCAATAGGGATGGAATGGACTTACTTGAGAGGATACATGCGTAGAGCCTTGTCCAAACCAGGTGTATAGGATAGAATGGCAGCCAAGCACGTCTCAAACACGAGAGCGAAGTTCAGGGCCCAGTTTCTGGGAAAAGCAAAAGCAACAGTCAGCATCTTGGAGTTAGACGGGATGCTTTTCTATTGATTGGATAGGACCCACTTCATTCCCTTCTCGAATAAGGTGTTATGTCGTGTCTTACAGATGATCAAATCTGCCCATTGAACGATGACAATCGAGACGAAGAAGGAAGTGTGGCATGTATATTCCAAGATCTTGCGGTTATGGTATGTCTATTGCAGGAACAGGAAACATATCCAATTGTTCAGTCTAGAAAGAACGAATCGGGAAAGCGGTAGGAATACCTTACCCATTCCTGGCCATATGAATCCATAAGGTCATTGACGCCGTGAGAATCCCAATAGCGGCGGATGCCAAGCAGTCTAGAAGGTTTGAATCCATTTTGTGCCATGATGACAAAGTATGTGAGGAATCCTGCTGCCGCCTGGATCATCCCGATTTGACCGTATGCCATAGAAATCAATCTATCCAAGAGACATATACCCCTCGCTCAAAGCAATTATTTGAAGTACGAGCAGTGTCAAATGCTCGGTCTATATTATTTTAATAATATAGACCGAGCATTTGCTCGCTTGATTTTTTCCTCCTTCTCAAATTGATGCTAAGACAATCGGCGATGTTCTATTAATAGCTACGTAAAAATGACCATTTTCCAAGAAGCAGGATACAAGCTCTGTGTCCCAGCCACCTCAACAATTTCTGAGAGGATATATCGCTTCGATGGACGCATCGTCATAAGACAAAGAGCTCAACTCCAGTTAGAAACTGTCGATCGGTACCTAATGATGCAATCTTCACTGGAGACTTCAAGATGAAACAGTTTCTATTAAGTTTCATTGTTTTTCATGCTATCATCTGTCGCTTGAGGTTTGTTTATGAGAATACAGTTTTTGGTCATGTAAGATATATTTTTCAGAAATGATGTTACGCTCTGAAAATTGAAAGGGTGTGGGACTGGAATGGAATCCACGGAGAAAAGAGTGGGAAAGAAAGGGAATAGCTAATTCGTCCCGGAAGCAGAATGAGAAGAAAAATTGAAGACAGCATGGGACTTGGAGCAGGTATACGTGTAGTGCACTCAAACCAGTCGCGCAACAGGACGAACTATTTTTCTCCGTAAGTCTTGAAGGTAGCTAGATGTTTATTCATCAAGAGGCTACTTGGTCAGCTCAGGAAGGCTTGGTCCTCAATCCGGATAAATGCCAAGAATTGATGTCTTACAATCGCGGTCTTAAGACAAAATATCGACCTCATAAATCTGAGAAACGAGCCTCTTGTTATCAATGGAAAGATGGACTGTTCCCCGAAATACATGTCAAGTATCTTGGTGTGTGGCTGTGGACGATCGGTTGAAGTTCCTTGAACTTGAATTAAATTGAACACGACAGTCGTCAAGATTCTCAGACTTCAGCCTAACTGAACGCAAACTTCTCGAACTCGAATTTTACCGAACTGGAAAATGTGCGGCTTGCTCCAACCTTAAGGTGAATGCAATGCCCTTTCAACAAGGCACCTGAGGTGGCCGCCACGATTACCCCTTTGGCCATCATCAGTGTCAGTTTTCATTTGAGTTCAACTAATAAAACAGCTTCATTATTGGGATCCATGGAAACATGCATAAACAGTATCTGCAACTCAACATCAGGGAACAACATGCACCTCAAGGACTTACCGCTCATTCACTAATTTGTCCGTGAAAGGATTCCTGGGCTGACGCTTCATGATGTCCGATTCAGGTTCTTCGTAAGCAAGAGAGATTGCTGGAACCTGGATTGCACCAAATTCCATCCAAAGCTCAATGCATAATATTGGTTAAAGTCAGGCCCCCTGAAATTACGATTTGACTGTGTCCATCTTCAACAAAGTTACTTTTATTGGCTAGCTTATCATGAGAGGGATCTCGAAGTGATCCTTCCATTTCATATTATTTCTGACTAAACGTAAGCTAATAAGTTGTCTTGCACCTTCAACAATGAATGGCACAAACGAAGAGATGGGAGAATAAATGACAGTACAGGCCTATAACTTTCATGGGATTGAAAAAGGCCCACACAAGTTATAGGCCTTATGGGCCTTTTCTCCAGATTGAAAAAAGGAAGGTAATCTTTTTCTTTAAAAAAAAATATAAACTCACCATATCAGTACCCAAGTCAATGCAAAGGATGGTGACTGTCCCGAGAGGTAGAGGTACATCGGCCAAAATGAAGAGTAAAAACGGTGAAACCTCAGGAATGTTGGAAGTGAGGGTATAAGCAATCGATTTCTTGAGGTTGTCGAAGATCAGACGACCTTCTTCCACTCCAGTCACAATAGAGGCAAAATTATCATCCAGCAGAATCATGTCAGCTGCTTGCTTGGACACATCCGAACCAGAAATACCCATGGCAATTCCTGCAGGAAAGAATGAGGTATTAGGAATGGTAACAAAATCAAGTCACAGAGAGAATTTTACAACGATTTTTAAGAAAGGAAAGCGAAAAGAGCGCACCAATTCGCACTTTCTGGGGATATCTTCTACTCTATCCCTGTCTTCAAGTAACACAAAGTTCTATCTTTCTCCCGTACACCCGAGGGTTCTAAACTTAATAGATTTCGCCTCTATTCCCCTCTGAATTCGCATAAACAACAAATTGTTGACAAAATATAATTTGGAAAACAGCAAAATAGACGTTATATCAATATCTCCAAGCGGATTGAGTTTTATGAGTTTAATATAGCATACGCAAAGTCAAGAGCTCGGCTGCATGCATCTCAAACTAGGCTGATTGAATCCTTGATTATATGCTAAATACGGAAATAATGCATGAGCATGAAAGGGAGCTCCGAGAGTGAGATGCTGTGAAAAAAAAGGGTGAGCGAAGGCAGTCAGCAAAGCCGTAAGACATGACTTCAAAATTCCCACTCTCGACAACCCTACTTACGTGACTACTCTGTCAAAATTTGCGAAGTATACTATGTCAATGGTGCAAACAAACCGATGTCAGCTTTCTTGAGGGCAGGGGAATCATTGACTCCATCTCCAGTCACGGCCACAATGCTACCTAGACGCTGGCAACCCTCCACAATGATCAACTTCTGTTGGGGTGACGTGCGGGCAAACACAATTTCGGCGTGGTTCCTGGGAAGAGACGAATATCATGGACACGAGGAAAAATTTGAGACTCGATTAGATGTCTATGATGAGTTGAAGGGAGAAGCTGATACCTTAAGACATCATCAAGCATGTCTGTGGTCATATCTCTGAGTTCAGAACCGTGGACAACACATGCCCTAGCCTTCTCTGGGTCCACATCAATCACCGGAATGTTCATGCGATTCGCTACGTCTTCCACCGTTTCACTGCCTGCCATCACACACGAAAAATGCTGTACACCCAACACATCCAACACAGGCCCAGATTCAGTGATAATCTGCCAAAGAAGATTTGGAAGCTTCCATACCTTCCGAGATGATGCCTACGGACTTGGCAATGGCCTTGGCTGTTATGGGATGATCACCAGTGACCATGATAACCTTGATTCCGGCTGATCGACACTTGGACACGGCATCAGGAACCGCAGCTCGAGGAGGATCGATCATAGACATGAGACCGACAAACCGGAGCCCATTCAGGGGGAAGTTCTGTTCATCTGCATCAAATGGATAGCCAGGTGGGAACTTGTCCGAAGGGAGTTTGAAGTCACAGAATCCAAGAACACGCTCCCCGAGACCGCCCAACTCCAAGTAGGCAGCATTGAATGCATCTTTCCAGTAATCATCCATAGGCATGTCTGTTCCGTTTATAAGGATATCGGTACAGCGTTCAATGATACGCTCGGGGGCTCCCTTCATCACCAGCAGGTATGATTGGTCGTAGGGATCGTCTGTCTCATGGATACTCACCTGAAGAAGAAACAACATTCTATTTTGGATACTCACCTGGGGAAAAAGCAATCTGCATGTATAAGGTAGACTTTTTTTGCTTATAAATTGCATCTTGGCCATGAGCTTGCCCCTTAATGCTTCAAATGTTCCTGGTCCACAGATCTTTTGCTAAAGAAAGCAGCAAGCCCAAATCGTAACGGTCGTGAATCTAAATTCCGAGGACGGCAGAATCAGCTCAAACGGATCGCATACAACTAAATTTTTTCAGCGTCAGAAAATAGATGTAGATATATGTTCATTTATATAAACAAAATACAGTCCTTGCGAGATTATTTGCAGCGAGTGAGTCGTGTCAGAAGATATCCTTCTAGACAGGGGAGAAGTGAATCCGTATTAAACAAAGAGACGGTCAGATGTTTGGTATTTCGAATGTGATACGTTTGACGTGACTTAAAAACGCGACCTATAAGACCTAAAAATGAAGCACAAACTGCACTCCAGTCGCAATTAAAGCAAACGAAATTGGGAAAAGTGACGAAAGAGACTTTGATCTATAAGAAAATAATCATACGTGGCTTTAGATTCCGCATAAAAACAAAGGGGAGGAAGATGAACAGGGAAGTCTATCCAATAGCGAGAGTTATCCCAGCTTGTTATGGAGAAGTGATCCTAAGCCTCCAGGACTTGGAGTCTCTCTCTCTCCCTCTCTTTCCTTGCTATTGCCACTTTTGAGAGCAGTTCGAGGAGACGGGAGAGGAAAATAACCTTCAATGTTATGCCTTTTCTGTCTCTTATTAGTTTGTTTTCAATTATGGCTATCGGAGAACCGAGGCCTGTTCCTCGCCTTCACTAAACTTAATCTAAATTTAGACATAATTCAAATTAAAAGCGGTCATGCAACGCTGAAGTAATAAATTCTCTTGGTTGCTTTTTACAATGCTTTCAGGTCAAATTTTGATTAAATTCAGATTTAGATTAAGTCGAGCAGAGACGAGGAACAGGCCCCTGGTATACAGTGTTGAGAAATGTCTTCGATACGAGTAGCAACGATATCAACTGTTGACACAAATTAAGGTGTCAAGCGTATGCTTTACATCAGGGATTCCCAACCTTTTCATGTGCGACCCTAAAAATCACGATCATACCATTTAGGACCCCAAGCACTGGACAAAGTTCGACAGATTCGCCCACCGCTGAAATTGCTAAGAAAAATATAACTTGGCATTTAGTTGCCGGTTCGCTACCCCAATTATGATCATGGTGACCCCAAATGGGGTCGCAACCCCTGGGTTGGGAAGTCCTGCTTTACACGTTCTGGAAAATATGGGTCTCAGAATTTATTGATAAATATTTGCATATGCATTTGCTTTGATTATGAAAGGTAGTGGTGCCAGGCACTAGCTTATGTTCATGATCGTGATTGAAGAGTCACACGAAAAGTGCAGACTCATATTTTTGCCAGTGACTTGGAAAAGGAGGCGACGATTTTGCAGCTGTGAGAAAAGCAACCAATCAGAAGAGTGGATGCATTCTGCCCTGAGATTTTTTTTTTCCCCACAGTTTCCTACAGTGGAGCTAAGTGGCACAAGCCGACACAAAGGGTCGTAGAGGAGCGATTTATCGACCAGCTTGAGTAGTAAATTGATGAACCGCTAGTGGACATCTGATAATAAGTGGGATTCACTGAATTAAAGAAAAGTCTGGAGTTTCTCATCTCAACGATTCCAGAAAAGTACTACTAAATGTTTCCATCCGTGAGATTATGACATTATGAAGTGTGACATTGCGGGATTCGATTGCAGTTTCAGAATGGCGTATTGGTCAGACGTTGTCCAGTGAAGAATATCTGGACATTGAGACACTCTTCAGGATGCCTCAATGTCCCAATGTCTAGATCAGACACCCCCATCCTTCATCGTTGATATACAGTGAAAGAATCCCAGGATATCAGGTTTCGCACCAGTGACTTGCTTTGCATCAAAGGGTATAAAGGTAGGATAATCCTTGGGAACTTCTCTCTGAATTTCTGTTTATATTTCTACTGACTTTTCACGAAAAATACGCAAAATGAGGTTTATTCTGAGAAGGTGAAGAATTAGTCACTTGTTTGGGAACGAATACTTGGGTGGGAGTTTCGCAACAATGCTTGCATGGCCGCCTCAAAGCTCAACGTATTCAACGAAGGGGAAGGTTGTAGGTTTCATGTCTTACCTACGACTAGGATTCAACTTCATCGCGAAATCAGCGACGGTTTCCCCCCCTCCCCCCCACATTTCGAAAAGTTGGTGTCAAATACCTCTACGGGGCAAAACGGGGTACGCTTCCAAATCTTGTTTTAAAATGTTTTAATTCATAATATATGCCTACTTAGATAAGTCACAGAACAAAAACATCAATGAAATATCAACAAATAACAAACTAATGATTTTCCACGTTTTTCCTTGTATTCATTTTATGCCTATTGAATATTTACAAAGTTCACAGAACAGAGACCGCAACGAAACATCCACAAATTACATCCAGATGATTTATCTTTTTTCCCCAGGTCTTCATTATTGCCTAAAAAGATCAAAGAACACAAACAGCAATGAAACACCTACAAATTAACCGTGTTTTTTTTCTCATGTTTTCCCTTATTTTCATTAAATGCCTATTTACTTCGGGTCACAGTACGGAAATAACAATGAAACTTTTATGGCAAAGCAAGTGCCGCTGTTTCAAACTGTTATCCATGTATTTATTATAGATGCAAATTTACAGAAGTCACAGAAAAATACATCCTCACCCATGTCGTCATCGATGCCAACATAGCTGTCATGAGGCGAATTCCATTAACCCATCCTTCACCGGGTTTTGAGTGAGAGGGAGAATCTGAACAGTAACCCATTGCGTCAGCCTGAGCCTCAACATTGTAATGGATATTCCAGCCAGAGGAGAATATGTAGAGGGTGTCCACAAAAGAATAATACAAATTCAATCCTTAATGACTTAATAACATCCGGACATCACCCTGTTTGGTATTTTCATATGGGGTTACCTCAAAGTAAGAGTTTACGCACGTAGGGTTGAAAACCTTGATTTACGACACCTAATTCGAGTCGCTGTTGGCAGCATCACACCAGAAATGCTAGAAAGAAGTGGGAGGAGCTGAGTCACCACTTAGACATTTTACGTGCTATACACGGTGCACATGTTGAAGTGACCTGATGAAACTTTCGAAAGAAAAACTTGATGATGTGAATTTAATTTTGCAGTAAGTTCATCTTTTCATCTTCTGTAGTAATAAAGTTATTAAGGATTGAATTTGTATTATTCTTTTGTGGACACCCTGTATATAGAGCCGCTATACCGCCACATTTTGCCCCCTCATCGTCACCCCGTTGCCCCATCAGCATCATCTATAATTAAGACACTGGCAAGCAAAAGGCGAGTGAGCTGTGCCAAAATCTATGACATAATGTAATAGTTCACATTTTTACCTACAGCAAAAAAAAAATATCGCACGCCTCCAATGTTCCCATGTTACTTTGTTTCGCTCATCAAAAACTCGAAACAAAACATGAAAAGTCGATGTTTTCTTATTTTGCTCCTTGTGTATTTACAAACTACTTTAGAGAGCGTCGCCGCGCCTGAAAATTTACATCGGTCTTGGGCGGTTATGATAGGGTAAATAACCGATAGATATCGGGTAAGGTTTGGTTAAAATCTGCGTTGCCACGTTTTGCACCTCGCCCTATTTTGCACTACCCTTCCCCTACATTGCACTCTCACCACTGTTTCTCATCAGCTCAGGTGAAGATCCTTACTTTTTACATCTTATGGTTTCTTTTCCTCCTGACACAAATGGAATGCCAGTGGCCAGTGGCATATTTTGGCTGAAAGGTCAGGGGGGGCAGGCAACAGAGTTGAGACGCCAAATCCAACCCAAGCCATATCAGGGGAGAAAGTTATTACCTCCAAGGGGCGCCAGGCTCTGTTCCAGGGGCGCCAGGGGGGGGGGGGGGGGGGGGCCCCCCCCCGCCCCCCCCCCCCCCTGGCCGCGGCGGGGGGGGGGGGGGGGGGGGGGGGCGGCTGCCCCCCCTGCCCCCCCCCCCCGTAAAATACGCCACTGCCTCTGGCCATTGGAGAGAAGTGTTGGATAGCATGAGAGGACGAAAGAACACGACGGAACGGTAGGGAATTGAACCTGTGTCTCCTGATTGCCAGTGGCACGTCGTGGCAGGTTTTGTGACAGTGGATTGTGGATTGTGAAAGTGGATTGCACACCATTTTCATCGTACTTCATCAGGTTTTCTCATATCATTCTTTGTTTCCGAACGTGGCGGTTTGCATTTTGATGCGGGGCAGTCAATGTGGTAATGGACACTAAGCATGAAATCATACGAAAACATCTCTGATAGACTTGTTGTCCGTATGGTCATTCCGTTTTGGCCTTGTTAATAGCCTGGGTCATGACATAACCCATTGAGAGCATTGAACATTAAGACTCAGATCATGATTCGTGTCACAATTGAATGTGCTCGATGCAAAACTGCGATGTTGCAGCTGTTTGCTCGGCGATGCATGCATCTCGCGGAGAGAAACAATTTCAATGAGAGTGATTTTTCGAATTCAGTTTAAAGTGGCTAGAAAGAAAGAGCGAATGAAAAAGGGAGGCTTTCTCATTGATGAAATCTCTTCCGTGTTTCATGCATCAAAGATACGTATCTGAATCCTTAACTTCCCACCTTTTTATCTGAATCATTTATAAGCATTTCTAACACAACAGTAACGAAGCGACTGTAGTTAACGACTCACTTGATATTTATTGGTAGAGTTGAAGGGGATCTCGTAGACCTTCTTGTGGCTCTTTCTGTAACTTCCCACATTTCCCATAGTCATCTCAACAGATTTCAAGATTGCAGCCTCCGAAGCATCTCCAGTCACTCCTCTGAATTGCACATGATAGGAATTATGAAACCGCAGGCACTAATAATAAAAATCCAGCATTAGATTTTTAAAATATGAATACTCGTGGCCGCAAATACACACGTACTTGGATTCCCTCAAATATATAATTTTTTAAATGAATTTTTAAAATCATTATTAAGTTATTTTTAAAATGTCGACTTTCGTTTTATTTTGGGAGCAGTTAAATATTGGCATATCATGTAGGAATTACTTCTATATGGCCTCTCTCCTTTGTGCTCCTATGAAAAAAATGTGCACTAGTAGAATGGCGTGAGGGTTAAAAATACCGGATGGTCAAAAAAAAAGTTCCGAATTTTACACGTCTGCAGACGGTGTAGTTATCGACAGGAAATTTGCAGGCTTTTACATGCAATGTTTGCAGGTAACGTATCAAGAATTTAATTGAAATTGGTTGCAAACTACGTGAGTAAAAATTTTTCTCCCGCGCGATGTCAAAAGAGCGAGTGTGCAAAAGAACGCGCCTGAACTTAATGAAATGAAAAGTCAGTGCAACCTCTTGAGGATGGGAAGATTGTCCTGACCACCTTTAAATTCAGCTTGACTGCATAGTGCAGCAACTCGAATTAGGGCCTTCCAGCCAGGAGCATCCTTGTCATACACCGCTCCTAAAATCATTAGCAGAGTGACAAGAAGGTTGACACATTTTCTCACCGAAATATGATAGTGAGTTACATCTCTTACCAGTTTGGTCTTCAGTGGTATCAGCCTTAATGATCTGATTGTCAAACCACATGTGAGCGACAGTCATTCGATTCTGAGTTAGAGTGCCAGTTTTATCAGAACAGATTGTTGATGTGGATCCCAATGTTTCCACGGCTTCCAAGTTCTTTACCAAGCAGTTCTTGGATGCCATTCGTTTAGCTGTCAACGTAAGACACACCTTAAGGGAGAAAACAAAGGGTTATTTTGTTTTTAGATATGGTCATAAAAATACATAGCGTAATGGATTATAGATTAGTAAAACTTACGGTGACAGTTGCAAGCAGACCTTCAGGAACATTGGCGACAATGATACCAATCAAAAAGATAACAGCATCTAGCCAGTCATATCCCAGAATGAAAGCGATGATGAAGAAGCTCACACCCAGGACTACGGCCACTGTAGTGATGAGGAAAATGAAATGACTAATTTCCTTAGAAATTGGGGATTCTCCAGTGGCCAAACCCGATGCCAGTCCTGCGATTCGACCCATCACAGTGTTGTCCCCCGTCCGAATTACAATTCCTTTGGCATTGCCTGAAAAGAGGGCATCAAATATACATCTCCTTACGTGAGAATGATTTTCCTAAAAACAGGTCGTTAAAGACAAAAACCCACCACGTACCTTCGAGAGCATTGGTGGAGAAGAAAGCCAAATTACGAGTTTCCAAGGGGTTCGTACTATTGCAGTCAGGAGTGCGGGGCTGAGGTTCAGATTCTCCAGTCAGTGAGGAGTTGTCAACCTTAAAAGCCTGAGCCTCAATGATGCGGATATCGGCAGGGATACGGTCACCGAATTTCACATCTACGATGTCGCCGACGACAAGTTCCTCTGCTCGTACTGTCAAAGTCAGGTTTCCTCGATGGACGACGGCATACTACAAGGATGTCAATTTTCATGGTGTATAAAACGCTTATTTGAACTCAAACCATGAGGCTGAGAGGAAAATAAAGCTGACCTGGGGAACCATGTTTTTGAAAGATTCCATGATACGGGAGCTTTTGGCTTCCTGATAGTAGGAGAAACATCCTGTGATGATGACGACGGCGGCCAACACAATCCCTAAGTACAACTGAAAGCTCCAAAGCATCATTAGGATCCCTAAAAAGAAATTCTTGCAAATACGAATGATAAATGCAGCAGCATACATTATCATCAGGAGGTTCGTCAAAGGTAGCAGCCTGAATGGAATAAGCAACGAAGCAGAGGAAAGCACCGATCCAAAGCAACAAAGCAAATCCTCCGAAGAGTTGCTTGCAGAACTTCACCCATTCGGGGGTGGTGGGCGGAGGGGTGAGGGAGTTAGGTCCATCTCTCATTAATCGATCCTTCGCTTCCTGCTCACTCAATCCCTGTAATCCATGTACAATATAGAAGATATTGCACTCCGCAAACACCTCACACCATAAAATTAAAACCACTCCAGGATATACTGTAGTTACAAGTTTTCTGGAGCCATGGCATGAAAGAACAGGGGGTCACCTCTATTCTTGCCAGCCTAATGCTGCACGACTGACAATCACGAAATTGCCATCCTTCCTGCCACTCTTCTAGTCCCGCCGTTTAACCATAAAAAATAACCTGGGGCTAATTCTTGAAATAGTAGAGGTCTTCCAGCTCCGACACAAGTGGAAGAACGAACTCACGAAACAGTGCGGCAGAGGAACTGTAGGGTACATGGTATTACTTATATACCGTATACCAGACTCTCCGTTACAAAGTTTTCAGGAGAGGAGAAAACAATGTCTGGACAAAACCGCTTATGGGGGTTGGGGGGTCGGTCCCATATTAACCTTGAATGACAGGGAATGAATCCTCTGCCGTGAACACTGGGGACGGAGTTTTTTAATCAAAATGTAGCGTTACGTTTATTACTTCACTTAAAAAATCGTATTTTCATTGTTAATGAAATGGCGTACAGCCTTGAAACGCGTTATCACATGTGCGAGCCACCTGAGTGGTGACCCGGTCCTAAGGCACAGCAGTCGTAACGCCACATAAGAGGGGATCCGTCTCTTACAGGTTAAACGGTAAGTCGCACGGAATCGTACACCGCTGATTCACTTTTTCGGAGGAAGCAGGACGGCACTTCCTCACCCATGTGTCTTTTCTGCGCGATTTGCCATATAACCTGTAAGAGTCTGGTGCGTACAATAAACTCATGTGCCCTACAGATCTTTTGGCGTATGGTTTACGTTTGTTCTTCCACTTGTGTCGCCACCTCACCACGATCTTATCGGCCATGAATTCTGGAATACCCTGCGATTATTTTCATAAGAACTATATTGTTCCACATAAGTACTATACAAGGAATACCATATAATACGTTCGGTGCTCTCTGAATAACTTAGACTCCACGGGAGACTATTGATCTCGATTCGCAGGCATCCAGTAAAATTGACACTCGATCGAAAATGATTAGCTTACATAGAAATGGAAATCCCCTTCTCGCTTGGTTTCGTTACGGCATTCATCCTTCATCCATCCCTCTCCGAAACAGTCTAACAACGGACATTCCATGCAAACATTCTTCACTGCGAGAAAATCCTTATTGAGAATCAGTAGGATCTGTTTAGGTGAGGGATGCGCAGTGACGCCACCACGTCCGAATGCGAGCACTTTCAGACCTAAGATTTTTCCGCTCTGGCGTTTTCCTCTACTTCAATAAGAATAAGAGGAATTTTTAGCTTCTACTGTCAAATTTTTCTCACGGGCCACCAGTGGTGGCTCGCTGTCTTTAACCCTTTCAGACCTGGCGTCCGTTCCAATGGACATTGCATTTACATTGTGTCTATGGCAATTTCTTTGGATTCTCGTGACTTTGCGCTCCATGGGCGCTTAATGGGCGCAATTATGCAAGGCTCAGTTCTATCAGAGGCCTTCCTTCACCCATTAGTTTTGTAATCTTCAGTTACTTATTTAAATGTTTAATATATAACATATGGTATGATATGGTAAATTTATACAAAATATGAAAACTGCATATAAAGCATGAAAATTTCAATTACAATCACGAAAAAGCTCAAAAATGCAAAAAAGAATATTATTCTGATAGCGACCTTCGTTCAGGTCTGAAAGGGTTAAAGTCTGTGCACCCAAGGATTTAGGCAAAGGCGAGAAAGAGTTTAGATAGTTAGATCTGGTGTCAGTATCAGTCCATGCGATAATCTCTGACAACTGAGAGTATTCACGATGTAAGTTTTCCAAGTCAAATTTTGGTAAATAAGAATTTCAAATGCTACGAGATAATTCAAATTCGACGAGGCCTTACGTGACGACGTGAGAAACGATATAAAGAAAATCAAATGCGATATACTTTGAAGATGGAGTTTGGAAAAAAGAAATTTCAATAGGAAACAAGTTGAGAGGAATATGAAAAAGCAGACTGCGACAAAGCTATGACTGAGCGAGAAAAGAAAAATTCGCTGTCAGAACCAAAAAAAAAACCTGCCTTCTCCCCTCTGGCTATGACACGCCAGATCACGACCTGACGTGCCATGCATTAGACTCAAGAGCTGAGGATTTAGACGCATATAAGGCTGTAGGTTTCTCCTGGAAACATTCCTCGAGAGCAAACATGACCTTCGTATGAGACAATAAGGGAAAATTGTCGCACGTCTGAGGAATCTGGGAAGCGAGTGGCTTTACTGATGATTTTTTTTTTTAAGACAGGACATGTGACAGACATACACGACAAAAGACTTAGTTAACATGACACAGAGAAGGAGGGGGTGCCCGCTTGGCAGGAGCACCACATCCGAATCACAGTCCCTTAGGAAGGGACACCCTTCTACGGTCCTGTAGGAGGCCTTAGGGGCAGCTCAAGGGTTGCATACACCCATGACTGGCACGAGTGTTAGCACGAGTTAAGGTGTACTGCACCCGCATCTCCCAGACGTGGCACACAGAGTGGCGTGTGTGTTATCCCACGCAGGTGGGTCGCCTGTCGGCGGAGGAAGAGCACACGGACTCGATTCCTCGCCTCCCGGGTTTCACTCGGAAGCCAGAACCACTCGGCCACGATGGCTTTATTAAAGATGCTAGTTTCCTTTTCTTCCCTCAAGTCACTTCCCTATTGTGCTATCGTCGAATGGTTAGCTGCGAAGCCATGTCGAGGTGACTTTCTAAGACCAACTTGTTCCAGCATTTGATCGACGTCTCTGAATTGAGGCGCTTAGTATGCATCAGGCTCATGTTCGAGGATGATGCACGAGGCTGATGTATGCATTCCAATATACCGACATCGATCAAACGATCGAACGAGGTGACGAAGTTTCCTTCGGAGATGTCGCCTCGGTATCACTTCTCAGCTAAACATTCAGCAATGGCAGTCATAGGGGATGGGCTTAAGGGAAGAAGATGAAACTGATGAGTGCGATTAGTGAAGTCACCCGCTTCCCCCACTCCTCGGACGTTCAAGGTTCGGATAGGAACGTGAAGGGGCACTTGCGTCCATTATGACGTACCGTGTCTAAGTCAAGCGTTCGTGCTTAACGAAATAGGTTTACTCTTCATAAATATATGCATTTTGTGGGACCATATCAGCCTAGAGCTTAGCCACTTAGAGCTAGATTGCTTCCTTCATTTTTTTCTCATGAATGTATCTAACTTCCTCTCAAAGCTAGTCACGAAGATGTAGCCACTACATCGTCACTTGCGGCATTTCACGCATTTACTACACTCCGGCACGAATGCTGAAACTTCTTTTAGTTAACGGTCCTTTAGGTTGGGAGTTTCCGTTCCACATTCCATTTATAAATACCTTCTAGCCGTTTAATATGAACTATTAGTAGGTCTCCCCCCCCCCCCCCCCCATTTGCGTAAGTGTATTTTCCGAGGTTTCTCTACGAATATTCATTCTACGCTCTCGAAACTCTATTCGGTTTTCTGACACGCTACTACGAGTTGGTGCACAGAATTTCGTCATGAGCGCTCAACATTTTTTTGACGATGAGTATTTTTATGCACAAAAACCCATATCCCATTTCCCGTTTCCCAAAAATCCCAAAAACCCGTTTATCCCGTAAACCAGATGGAAAATATAGTATATATTTTTTTAAAGTTAATGATTTTCCAATTGGGACTGGCAAATGTTCGGTACTTCGGGTAAATGTTTCTAGAAAGTAGGTACACACAAAGTTGGATAGCAGCACACCCAAATTGCCTATGTCAATGACTCATGCTGGTTCATCGACCGCTCTCTATGCTGATCTGGTAAAACCAAGCCCCTGCAGAGACTCCCGCACTGTTTGTGGGCTAATCAGGTCGCTTTCTTTTTTTCCCACTTTAGTCTTTCCAGTAGTTTGGATCCACTTCAGCTAAAAGTTTGGAGGTAGAGATTTCCTTAGATACTTCCTGCTTTGACTTTTGTGTCAGTCGATTCAGTCGCTCACAGCAAATTCGCTCCACTATATGGTTACTAGAGATATCTCTTTACGCATATGTGCGGAATACATGTTGGACAGAAGATTTTTAAAAAAAATGAAAGAAAAAGAGAGACTCACTGTTAGGATGTTGACATCGAGCCTTGAGGCCAATTCTTCCATTGAGATCTGATGATCATCTATGTCAAGTTCTTGTTTCAGCTCATCCAAATTGCGTCTACCCCTGCTCGGTCTTCTTAGAAAGTCTTTCCTCAACATAGACTGGAAAATATTACAATGGTTTGATTTTAAATTGTGACAATGGTAGCCGCGGGAGAGGACACAATTTTCAAATTAATTTCATGTTAAGCACAAAAGCTCATAAGACTGCCGTTCGAGCAAAAATGCTCTTTTCAGATCTAACATTCATTCTCCAGCAATTTCTCAAAACCTCATCACTCAAACTATATCTATCCCAAGTAGCACAAGAGAACGTTCAGGAGGACGCTCAACCCCGGCTCAAGAGGTTCTTTGACGTTCAAGGTTTAGGGATGAGCAGCTTTTGGACGCTCTATTAAGGTGCCGTTTGATCACCAATACATGACGTTCTTGATGGACGTTCGTTGAACGTTAAAGAGGCGCTTTTCTTGAGCATGACTATGCTATCCATCTGACAGTAGCGAGAAACATAGGTTCACGCAATCGACGCTAGATGACGGCATATAGCTAGGCAGCACCTCATACAGCAGGAATCATCTCCAAAACTTTCCTTGAGGTGCCCGATCTTTTCCCCACACAGTTACCACAAATAAAGACATTCGAAATCTTCAACAAATCGATCTTACGAGATACCCCAGTCCAAGGAGTCTCCATAAAACTCTGGTCAGGAGGATTAAGGGAAGATGGTTCAATTTCCAAGTTGACTTCATGAGGAGTGGATATTGTACCAGAAAGAATTATCATAGCTCTTCGGAAAAAAATGAATCTATGCGGAGAGTGCTTAATTTCTGCTGTGAAGATGGAAAATTTTCCGTTCTCTAGCTTCTTCTCCTCACGCATCTCCGGCGCAGAGGAGGAACTATTCAGATCTGCGCTTAAGAAAGGATTTTTGCACGTACCCAAAATCGGGATATGATCATTCCCAAATGAGGAACGATCACAATATTTGGTTACGCGGTTGCCTGTGACCCTAGGTACAGGAGGAGAGTTTACTTCGGAGAAATGCAACCCTTTGGTGCTGTTTGGGAATATTCAATTTACGTCCTAGATGAACGTCCAGGGAACGCATAATTTGAACTGTTTTTGATCGCTCTAAATTCCGGACATTTGAGCAGTCAAGGAACGTTGCCGAGGATGTTCATGGATCGAGGCAACACATGGAATGAAACGTTCATTTCATTAAACATTCATTAAACGTTCCGGTCCTAATTGGGACTCTTAGATATGCTTCAAAAACGTTCACAAGCATCATAAAAAGGGTGTACCAGCAATGAGGAAATCAAATTATCACCGACAATGGAAGTACGAGAAAAGACCACCAGTTCAAGAGAAACAAAGAAGTAGGGTCATGTGGAGAGGTGCATCCTATATATCGTAGTATGCACCTCTCGTAAAGACGAAAAAGAGATTAAAATACCACCAAACAGATACTGTGTATAAAAATATTTAAAAAAACAAACAAGATGAGTGATTTCAACGTGAAATGAGAGGTCTAGGAGTTCCTGAGGAATGTAGAGAC